CATCACCACTGGTGACGTTGCTTTAATGATCTGCATATTTGAACTCTATAGTTTACTAATTCTTGTTTGGCTTTCAGAAATACTTCTATATTCCAGTTCCTTTTGAAAAAGGTATTATTTTTAGAATAAATAGTGTTCAATTATAAAAACCAAAGAAATCACATTATAATTTTATAAGCAAAGATGGTTAATAGCTAGCAGTGGAATACAGGATGCGTGTTCCGTACTATATGGGATTCGTCAGCTGCATCTACCCGCGAGTTGATGTTCACTTTGGGACTCGAACCCAGTACCGTTCACTTGAAACTCCATAGCGTTGTAAAAGTCAGGTACTGAATCCTGAAAGCCGCCTGCTTGTGCAACAGAATGAAGTTCAAAATCACATGATATCCATCTTTGCTTACAAAGCTTGTGATTTTAGACAATTTTGAGACAATCCTCACAGGATGCACATATATCAACAAGAGACTGATCAACTACAGTCCTAAACAACAATGGGAAAATACAAGTAAAAAATATGAAGAGTATTCACACTGTGAACATTCACTGTAATCCCATAAAGTTTATTCTCATTACCTTCTTTCATTTTTATTGTAGGTTGTTCTATTCAATGTTAATTTACATTTTATACAGAAATAATGATGATTAAACCACTCAATGTATTTACATTTTCTTTGAATATATAATAACTCCGCCTGTAGCTCTTATAGGGTTGCTGCCGGTCCCAAGCCCGGGTAAAGGAAGAGGGTTGGGCATGGGGTTAGCGTCCCCATCCCGTAGAAAACTAACTCGCTAAAAAAACGCTTACCAGAAAAAATAATCCAAACCATTTTAACTCTGCCCTGGGAGTTAGAAGGTCTTCATTTAGAAGAATTATGACGCTTCATGGTGAAAGCCGAGTTCCTTCGGAAGCCACGAGGCCGATGCCCCTTCTAAGAACCAGAGCAAAAATTTTTATAGGTACATGGAACGTTCGAACAATGTGGGAAACCGGGAAGACCAGTCAAATATCAATGGAAATGAGGAGATACAACTTAGCAGTACTGGGAATCAGCGAAACCCACTGGACCCAAGCTGGACAGAAAAGGCTAGCTACGGGAGAGATGCTGCTATACTCCGGTCACGAAGAGGACAATGCTCCACACACTCAGGGAGTCGCTCTTATGCTGTCCAAAGTAGCACGAAATGCACTTGTAGGATGGGAATCTCACGGATCCAGAATCATCAAAGCATCATTCAAAACAAAGAAGGAGGGGATCATAATGAATATTATCCAATGTTATGCACCCACCAATGATAGCAACGACGAAATTAAAGATCAGTTCTACGAGCGGCTGCAGTCAGTGATAGAGAAATGCCCAAGAAAGGACCTCACCATTCTAATGGGAGATCTAAATGCCAAAGTCGGAATAGACAACACTGGATATGAAGATGTTATGGGACGACATGGACTGGGAGGAAGAAACGAAAATGGAGAAAGATTTGCAAATCTATGCGCATTCAACAAATTGGTCATAGGAGGCACAATATTTCCACACAAGCGTATACACAAGGCTACATGGATCTCACCGGACCACACTACAGAGAACCAAATAGATCATATTTGCATCAACAAAAAATTCCGAAGGACAATGGAAGATGTGAGAACCAGGAGAGGTGCTGACGTAGCTTCAGATCACGACCTAGTTGTAGCCAATTTGAAACTGAAGCTAAAAAAGAACTAGACAAGTGGACAAACAGCACTACAAAGGTTCAATACAGCCTTCCTTCGAGATACTGTCAAACTCAATGAATTCAAGATAGCTCTCAACAACAGGTTCCAAGCCTTACGAGATCTACTGAAAGAAGAAGAAACTACTATGGAGGACAACTGGAAAGGCATCAAGGAAGCATTAACTTCAACGTGTCAAGAGGTTCTCGGTCTAAAGAAATACCATCATAAGGAATGGATCTCTACAGAAACAGTGGACAAGATCAAAGGAAGGAAGAACAAGAAGGCAGCAATAAACAACAGCCGAACACGAGCAGAGAAAGTCCAAGCACAAGCTGAATACATAGAAGCAAACAAACAAGTGAAGAGGAGCATTAGAGCCGACAAGAACAAGTACGTGGAAGAACTAGCAACGACGGCAGAAAAAGCTGCTAGAGAAGGAAATATGAAACAGCTTTATGATACAACGAAGAAACTATCAGGGAAATACAATAAACCAGAGAGGCCGGTCAAAGACAAAGAAGGCAAGCCAATCACCGAAATTCAACAACAGCGTAACAGATGGGTAGAATACTTCGAGGAACTCCTGAATAGGCCGGCTCCAATGAATCCAACGAACATCGAAGCAGCACACATAAATCTTCCTATAGATGTCAATCCACCAACTACGGAAGAAATTAGAATGGCCGTCAGATAAATCAAGAACGGGAAAGCAGCAGGACCCGACAACATACCAGCTGAAGCACTGAAATCAGACATCGAAGCAACCACAAGCATGCTTTATCTTCTATTCAAAAAGATTTGGGGGGAGGAACAAGTGCCGATGGACTGGAAGGAAAGACACCTCGTCAAGATTCCAAAGAAAGTAGATCTGAGCAAATGTGAAAACTACGGAGGCATAACACTACTGTCAATACCAGGGAAAGTCTTCAACAGAGTGTTGCTGAACCGGATGAAGGATGCAGTAGACGCTCAACTTCGAGATCAACAAGCTGGATTCCGTAAGGATCGGTCGTGCACAGACCAAATTGCAACACTACGGATCATCGTCGAACAATCAGTTGAGTGGAACTCATCACTATACATCAACTTCATTGATTATGAAAAGGCATTCGACAGTGTAGACAGGAGGACGTTATGGAAACTTCTTCGACACTACGGAATTCCTGAGAAGATTGTCAATATTATCCGGAACTCATACGACGGACTACAGTGCAAAGTAGTGCATGGAGGACAGCTGACAGATGCATTGCAAGTAAGGACCGGAGTCAGACAAGGCTGTTTACTCTCTCCCTTCCTCTTCCTTCTGGTGGTCGACTGGATTATGGAGACCTCAACATCTGAAGGAAAACACGGAATACAATGGACATCTCAGAATCAGTTAGACGATTTGGACTTCGCAGATGACCTAGCCCTCCTATCAAGTACACACGAACAGATGCAGATGAAGACAGTCAATGTAGCAGCGGTCTCTGCATCAGTAGGCCTCAGCATACACAAAGGGAAAACTAAGGTCCTCAAATTCAAAGCGGAGAACAGCAATCCAATCACACTTGATGGCGAAACTCTGGAAGATGTAGAGTCCTTCACATACCTAGGAAGCATCATCGATGAACAAGAGGGATCCGATGCAGACGTAAAGGCGAGGATCGGCAAACCAAGGGTCGCATTTCTACAATTGAAGAACATATGGAACTCAAAACAACTTTCAACCAATATCAAAGTGAGAATCTTCAATACGAACGTCAAGGCAGTTCTACTGTATGGAGCTGAAACTTGGAGAACTACAACAACCACAATCAAGAAAGTACAAGTATTTATAAATAGCTGTCTTCGCAAGATACTCAACATCCATTGGCCGGATACCATCAGCAATAGCCTTCTGTGGGAGAGAACAAACCAACTTCCAGCTGAAGAGGAAATTAGGAAAAGACTCTGGAAATGGATAAGACATACATTACGCAAATCATCAAACTGTATCACGAGACAATCCCTAACTTGGAATCCTGAAGGGAAGCGGAAAAGAGGAAGGCCAAAGAACACATTGCGTCGGATAATAGAAGCAGATATGAAAAGGATGAATTACAACTGGACGGAGCTAGAAAGGATTGCCCAGGACAGGGTTGGATGGAGAATACTGGTGAGCGGCCTATGCTCCTTCACGAGGAGTAACAGGCGTAAGTAAGTAAGTAAGTAAGTAAGTAAGTAAGTAAGTAAGTAAGTAAGTAAGTAAGTAAGTAAGTAAGTAAGTAAGTAAGTAAGTAAGTAAGTAAGTAAGTAAGTAAGTAAGTTGTTTTTACATCAAAGGCATTCTTTATGTTTTGATTAAATTTCAATCTAAGATTAGTGTAATTAACCTAGTTTGATATCATTATTTACGCTTGTTAACCCTCGTGGAGGAGCTTAGGCCGCTGTACCAGAATTCTTCTTGGAACTCTGTTCTGAGAAATCATTTTCAGTTGCTATTGATTCTTTTGATGTCTGCCTCTGATCCTCCGTTTCATTGCAAATTAGGTCACGGCTCCCGATTCAGTTTGATGATTCCTGCAATGTATGTCTTATCTAGCGTCTTTTCCTAATTTCCTTTTCATTTCGAAGCCAGTTTGTTCTCTCGCACAGTTGGCTGTTGCTGATGATATCCGACCAACGGACATTTAGTATGTTACGTAAACAATCGTTTATAAATACTTGTGCATTTTTGATGATGGTTGTTATAGTTCTTGAGTTTTCAGCTCCATACAGTAGAACTGTCTTGATGTTCGTATTGAAAAACCAGAAAAACGTCATAGTATGTGATATCGAAATATGAGTAGAGGCTGTCAAAAGTAACTGTTTAATTTATTTAATTCAGCTGATGAGAATATAGTAACTGTCAGCATTAACCAATGCTATTGACAATAAAAAGTTATTACACATTATGTGAATGCACTGAACAAACACTTATGTGGGGATAACCAATTTATCAATTAACGTCAAATATCACTATGCTTTCATAAAATTAAGTCCTTTATTTGCAAGTCTCCTTTCAGTTGTCGTGTACATGCTTCTTCATTCTTCATATTCGGCTATCATTGTAATTCCTCACCGTTTCCCTTTCTGTTTTTCGTAATTCAATCTGAAACTTTTGCTAACAGGCAGTCTGTTTCAATTTGGTATTACCTAATACTTATATCTGTCAAAATAAGTAGCATACATCACGCGTTTATCCGTTTTTAATGGTTAAATTAATCAAGTGTGATTTAAATGGATTGATATAAACCTCAGAACACCATACAATTCATCACATTTTATGCTGTTTGTACTGTTTTTCCTTTACACTATTGTAGATGAAATTTCATCGGCTTTCGCTTCTTCATCATCCTCATCTACTTCATCATTGTCATCGTTATCAAATAATAATCGTAATCATCATAATAATAATTTAATATTAGCTGCTGGATCAGCATGTCCATCAAATCCTGGAATTGCATGTAGTCATGATTATTTATCAGTCGATGCTCGTATCTCTAATGTTTATGATGGTACAATTAGCAATATACCAATAATTCGTTTTTGTTTAATCAATAGTTCCACATTGAAAACAATCGCTACAAAGACAAAAACAAAATTAACAGAAATACAAATGACCAATTCATCATCATTATCTTCTTCTTCTTCTTCTTCATCTTCAATCTCCTCTGGATCATTTTCATTTAATTCAATAGATTATAATAAATTATATCCACCAGATGAATCATATTTAGTTGGGCAAATTTATGGTCCAATCAGTAATGTATACGGTTTACAGTTTACATCAAATTTGAATTTATTAGATCCATATATTATTCATGGAAAAGGCATAGTGTTAGAATATATTGGTAAGCATTAGTTTGTTTTTTGTTTATTACAGAGATTGTTTAAATGTTTATGTTATACACATGATGGACTGATTGTAGGCAGATAATCATTGAAAATGAGGAAACATTAAATGGCTATTTCATTCATTGTAGCATTGAGCTGTTCAGTATTTTACACTGATGAACCATTCAAAGAATTTCAGACTTCATGGCGAGACATAAATGCTTACACTAACTAGTTGGGACCTAATGGTTGATGCTTGTGAAGACAGTCAGTCAGTCAGTCAACTTACAGCATTACGAAATCATTATCTAGTGATATTGATGTGTAATTGCTTCAGACCCGATATAACTGAACTACATCGATCATAACCTGTTACTAGAACTCTAGGCATTACTTCTCGAAATTACTCACTATTGAGGCTTACTGCGAGCTGACTCAAGCTATAAAAACGTAAACCTGATGTGTAGCTGATGAAAATACTGATTGGTTGTTTACTTTGTCAGAGTAGTAGATGGTCTGACAAGTATTAGATGTGTCATATGTTTCCTATCACATTATTGCTTCTTATTGTTCGTTATTGTCGTTGAAATTTACTAATGTTCTAGTGTGATCAGTCACATGTTCGTGATCAAAATTGCATTAAGGTCTTGTAGAATGGACACTGGCATGGTATCTCGTATAGATATCTTGTTTTAATTTCCACAATGAGAATTTCTGAAATTTTTGAGTTGACATTACTTTGGTAACTATCAAAAATCAAGATACATTGAAACGAATGTACCGATTATCTTCAAGTTTCATCAGTGAAAATGACACCATCTAACCATTGAATAATTTCAAATTTCGTCACCGATTGATGATGAATTCAAATGACGAAATCTTCAGGGATAATTAATTCAACGTCAATACGTAGTGGTCGTTGTTTACTGTTAAACAACAAGAGAATGACTTCAAAAGTACTCAACGAAATCGTTGATTTTTATTGACTGGTTAATTCACTGGTTTATTTTATTATTTAGTTAATTATTTGTTATGATAGTGATTATTGCACTCACCTTAACTTACCTTTTTTAACTGAATACGTCTATTGAGATAGGTTAAATTGATTTTCAATGGTCTCTTTCTATATCATAAAATGATGTACTAGAAATTCAGGAACATCTTAAAATAAGTCATTAGTAGTGAGCTGATTATTATTGCTAAGTCAAAGTAGTTTTATGCCAATTAATTTAATTTATAGGTAGCATTCATCACAGATTGATCTTAGTCGAAGCACTACTGCTGTAACAGTGATTCGGTGTTCAATATTTTTCGATAGTACTCTATGATCCATCTGGGATGAATATAATCTATAAATTAACCAATCGACAGAGAGAGAACCTCATTCAACCTGGACTTAACAGTAATTGAATTTTTGTTTAAATCATCAACGTGTTAATTTCAATTAATCATACTAGAGATAATCCATTTTCTCTTCATAAAAGCTCTTATCCTCTTGACTATGACTCATTAGAAAAAGTCATAACGACATTTGTTTGATTGTTTGTTTTATTGTGTAAACATTGTTTTGCTTTATAAGTTAAACAGTTAGGTTCAATGTTCAAACTTCACTAATTTGTTCTTGATTTCAAAAAGACTGTGTTATTTATCTGACGATTAGTTCAGTTGTAATGTAGTGAACGAGAACACAAGTGGGGACAATCGAATGTATTTTAATACAACATAGTAGAATATCTTAGTAAAATAGGAGAATCATACAATAAATACTTCATTTACAAAATGTTAATTAAGTGTCTCAGATGTCATTGTTCCTGCATTTCCATACCAATTACTTTCTGTGCCCGTTCTTTCGTTTTTCGATCTTCTCGACCTTCTGCTACCAGACATTCTATTCCCGACTGGCGTTTTAAAATCGCTTCATATCTTTCTTTCTACGGACTAATTCTTTCTTCCTGTATTATGTCCTTATATGCAATCTTTTTTTTATATTACCACCAACTAGTTAACTACTTCTATGAATCCGATGTTCATCTTGTTGTGCTAATGAAGTGTGGCAACTTGGACCGATGCACATCCTTGCCTGGTCCTACATTGTAGCTGACTGACTGGCTGACTGACTTATACAACTTATGTCTATATAAGTAGCACACACCAAAGTGAATTGAATTGTATCGTAATCATTTGTTTAATGCTCAATGTGTTTTTTGTCTTTTTAATACAATTATGGTGTTTTGATTTTTGTAGGGCAGTAGAGGAAACTCTTTCGTTCTGTTTAATCAAGCTATGTTATGATTGTATTCACTACTATTATGAATAGACATACATTCTATAATGGAATTTTGATTAATGTCAGACGAAGAAATTTATGTAAATCAACTACGTTTAATTACTATCAGATTTGCACACTAGAGTTCATGCGTATTTTTTTCAGTCAATAACAATATAGTTTACGTTACAGACTGAATATTGGTAAAACAACCATAGAAAACCAAGTGGTATGACTGGAGAGCTATTTCGTTCTACTATGTGACTCCGCACCAAAATGTATCCCCAATCTTACCAACAGAGATCGAACACAGGATCTTAAAATTTCTCAGTGAGTGTGTGCCAATGAAAACTACCAGATTGGTATTCAGTGGTGAAATGCTCAATTAGTGCTCAAAAGGGTGTTTTATTTCCGTTCAGGTTATGTTATTTATTGACAGAATGTAAAGAACCCTCTGAATATTTTCAACTGTGTTCCTGAACCTACAGGCCCTGGCACGGCTATGAGGGAGTCAGCTCTTCCACTCGAAATGTCTCACATAACCACGCGAATACATTCACTCCCATGAAAGTTCTACTCACTGGCCTCTCGTTGCAGGAGCGCTGTTTACGAAATGGAGAAGACGAAAAGAAAATATCCGGCGCTTTAGCCGGGTTGGTGGACGCAGAGGGTCCATGTAGGTTAATTGGTGCACATGGACTCCATGATCTTGAGGGAACAATGGGTGTATGAACCTGTTGTTGGCCACCGGCTATTATGTGACTGCATCGCCTAGCGTTGATCCACTGTCCTGTAGGTTACACCTGTAGGTCAGAGGCTTGAGGAGTAGCACCTGAAGAAAACCACTTGTTTCGGCTTGAATGCCTGATCAGTATTACAACGCTCACACAAATCGAATGATCTATGTGACGCATCTATACTTGCTGCCTCCTTATACCAGTATTTATGTGTTTAAATAAATAAAAACAATTCATCCCAATGAGTTCTGAAAGTCCTGAGCTGAAGATTATCAATTCATTTGTCGACTAATAAACAGATATATGTCATTAATTTGCACCGATTGCCCAATTTGCTGAATTCATTAACAATCGTGAAATGAAATGGTTTGATTACGAATTATAATCCACCGAAGCCCTGTCAATTGATACTTTGTCCCAAGGTCTTATTTTGTTTAGAAATTATGTCTCTGCACTTTTAAAGAGTTTTAGCTAATGTTAAAACATCTACCTAGTGTTTTTCTCTATTTGTGTGTGGTAATTACACGGTTTAGTGTCACGTCCATGGACAAAATTACCAGTGAAAATGATTACGAAGTTTTCAGTTCAAACGAAGATTACTGAGAAGAAACAGAGTCTTTTTATTTAGGATAAAATCGTTAACCAATGTTTCCTAGTTTTATATAAGTACTCTAAGAGAAAGTAATCTATGAAGAACATAACTAACAAATATTTTTCTCAAATCGAATAAGTTTGATTAGGGTGTAAACTAATAAATAAATCGATCAGACTATGACGTAATTAGAGATAAAGTTGTGCTTATGAACAGAGGTGATTGTGGCTAGCAGTGAGATCCAATACACGCGTTTCATCCTGTCTGAAACTCGTCAGCTGGATATATCTGCATTCCAGAGTTGATGTTCACTCTGGTACTCGACCTTACTACCGTCTGCTTGGAGCACCATCGCGTCATTCATTTAGCTACTGAGTTCAGATAGCCACTCATTTGTGCAATGGAATGACGTTTAATTCATAGAATACAGGTACACCCACCTGATGAGTCCTAGATAAGACGAAACGCACGTTCTGGATTCCACTGTTGACTAATATCCATTTTTGCTTATAATGCTTGTAGCTTAATGCGATATTGGAGATGTTCATATACAATTAAACACAGTTCATCAGTGCTAAAAATGTTTACAGCAACAACCCTTAGCGAAGCATATAAGGGTGGTATTGAATCCAACAATACAAGTTTTATTGTAGGTTTGAAACTCTGAGATAATTTGCGAAAACAGATTGTTTGGATCGTTGAATCTTGGGGTGGTCCGGTAAATGTCTCGCAAAAGACAAGAAAGGATCAGGAAACTGTAAGAAACGGTTCCTCCAATCAGCGTTCACTTGACGTTTTAGTCAAAAATATCAAGGAACTGAAACGTCAACTGCAAAGGTTCTGATTGGCTGATTGCTTCACTGCTGCTATGTTTAGTAGCATTCCAGAATCCTCTAGCAGCCCAAGGACATTTAAAATATTATAAAAACTCTGTATTTCCTATATTAAAATGAACCTTGGACTAAACTACTTCTCGCATACCTTGAGTCTTCTCTCTCGTGTTCAGGTCGTTGTATAGTTCTAGATTGTGGGTTACAGAATTGCTTAGGAGACGAACATAGAGTTCAATCCGCAAGGCTTATCACTGAAATACTAATTCACAAGTCCACCTTAATTTATGTTCATTATGATTAGAAGTCAGCGTATATATCCGATTAGTTAAATGAATAGTGGTGAACATATGCTTTCTCGACGTAATTAATGACTTTCTATCTGTTTTATGGATTGTTGGTCAGTGCGATCTTAGTGGAGCATTGGTCGTTGATAAAAGCAACTCTTTTGTTGAACAAACTCAATTCTTGTATTCAATAATGTCTATGTAGTTTGTTAAATAAATAAGTACGCTGGGGTGATTATATTACAAGTTAATTTTGCAAATTTCAAAATAAATCAATCTTAATTCCTGAAAATTTACTCCATATCAGTCGTCAACCATCTGTTTGAATTGGTCAATAGATCACAGAAAGTTCCCAGGTGTCTTACTTCTTGGGTGTTTCATCTGTTCACGCTTTTTTACAGTTGTGTGCTTAGACCGTTCGCTTGTTGGTCGTGCACATGTTTTGGTGTTTGCTGGCATTTTGTAGGTTCGTTTAAACTAAGCGATTTGCGTCGGCTAGATGGATGCAAATGTATGGTACATGGTCCTGAGCCTCGCATGGCAACAACGGCATTTGTATCTCAACAGGTAGGCGTAATTCATGTCCAAAAAGTAAAGTTGTGTGTTAAAATCCCGTGAACCTGTGCACTGATGCGCGGTAAGCTTAAAGGTGTTGGGGTATTGTATCATCCCAACATTCCGTCGACGACTTATTGATGAAGGATTGAAGAACGGTTTTGATGGTTGTGTTTGTTATTCCCACTAAGCCGTTACTTTCTGGGTGGTGTGCAGTAGTCTGTGTTTTACGGGTTGCTAATAATCGGCAAACCTGGGCGACGAGATGGCTTTCAAAAGCTGCACCTTAGAATGGAGTGAGACTGGAGCTCCGTAACGGGAGACCTAATGATCAATATAACCTCGGGCGATTTTGAGGGCATCTTGTTGTGGTATAGGAACGGCTTCACACCATTTGCCAAAATACTCTACCACCGCCAGTATACAGCGGTTTCCGTTCTTCGACGTTGTAAGTGGCCCCATAATATCGATACCAGCTCGTTGATGTGGAACTTCTGTCGTCACTGGAAATAACGGATTACGGGGTATTTGTTGAGGGTACTTGATGACATAGCACGTGCCACAATTTTCGCAGAATTCTGCTATGTCTTCATGGGTGAATGGCCATCAAAACCTCTGGTAAATCGCATGTCCAGTCTTCTGTTTCCCCGATAGCCCGTGTTCTCGGTGCACCTGCTCCACAATATTCTGAACTTGTATACGTGGTACTATCAACGATGGCTGTTTTGACTCACTGACCATAAGTAACGTGTCCCCATACAATCTCAGACAACTCCATTTGGCAGGAAGACGGCGCGTCGCTATGGAATGATCCTTTAACTCTGCCATAGATGTTTTATTATTTCCATGTAGTTGCTTTTGGTAAAATGAGTCGCAGATCAGAGACAGTCAGGCGTTTATCTTAAAATTTTAGTTCATCACCAATTAATTAGAAACTACAAGAAACTGAACACAACTCTATGATATCATCAACATAAGAGGTTGACTATCGTTCGGGTTTCCAACTGCTATTGTATTCTTCACGGCTCTCATTAAAACGCTTATTCCACCTGTAAAGAGCTGGTTTGTTTTAGTACACCACCTCCATATATAACGCGTTAGTGTTTCATAGATTTCCCGAAAGCTTTTTCTCTCTAAATTACACCAGAAGTGTATTGATCAGCCTTTTTCCTATTTATAATTTACGAAATTCCAGTTAACTCAGCTTTTTAAACATTAAATAAACGATCACTATTAGTGATAGAGTTATGAAGAATTGTATTGTCCATTACATCATAGTGATGGACACCTTAGCAATTCGTATCCATGACTCCGTAATCTAGAATGGAATGTCTTAACAATTGATCCAGCATTCAACGATACTAAAGTTAGTTGGGTGCCGAATCAGTGATCTCGAATACAAATTCCAGGTTTCAAGGGTACTGTGGATCCTCACTGCTGAGAAGTCTTCTAGTAAAACAAAACGTGCACTCAGCTATATTAGATTTTCAATGTCTGTCTAACTTACATCGGTTCATAATCTCAATATTTTTTTGTTTTTCGAAATATCATTGTCTTGTTTTAAATACACAATCATTTTTTAATTTGGACTTTAGACACGTACTTGTTTTATTTGTGTATTTATTTATAATAAAAAGCGCCCCCACCACATATATATATGTACAGACAAACATATATATCTTGCAAATAAATCTCATAATTACCAAGTAGGTTAGACGAGAGAGAGAGGAAGTGAGGGTGATTGAAACTGGATATGTATAGACAAGTAAGAAATACTCAGTGAAAATAACTATCATAATAGTGATACATGTGATATGCAATGATTATTTACTTACTTACGCCTGTTACTCCCGATGGAGCATAGGCTACCGACCAGCATTCTACAAACAACTCTGTCCTGGGCCTTCTTTTCCAGTTCCATCCAATTCTTGTTCATTTTTCTCATGTCTATCTCAATTTCCCGGCGTAATGTGTTCTTTGGTCTTCCACTTTTCCTTTGGCCTTGAGAATTCCATGTGGGGGCTTGTCTTGTGACGCAGTCGGGTGCTTTCCTCAATATGTGTCCTATCCACTTCCAACGCGTCTTCCTGATTTCTTACTCCGCTGAGATCTGGTTTGTTCTCTCCCACAGTACGTTGTTGCTAATAGTGTCCGGCCAATGGATCTGAAGTATTTTGCGTAGACAATTGTTAATAAACACCTGTATTTTCTGGATGATGGCTTTCGTAGTTCTCCAGGTTTCTGCCACATACAGTGGAACCGCCTTGACATTTGTATTGAAAATTCTGACCTAGGTGTTGGTTGACAGTTGCTTTGAGTTCCAGATGTTCCTCAGTTGTAAATATGCTGCTCTTGCTTTGCCGATCCGCGCCTTCACATCTGCATCAGATCCACCCTTTTCATCAATGATGCTGCCCAAATATGTAAAGGTTTTTACATCTTCCAAATCTTCTCCGTCAATTGTGATTGGATTGGTGCATGCTGTGTTGAATGTGAGAATCCTGCTTTTCTCTCTGTGTATATTGAGACCTACTGCTGCTGAGGCTGCTGCCACACTGTTCTTCTTCCCTTGCATTTGTTGTTGTGCTTGTGATAGAAGGGCCAAATCATCTTCGGGGTCTAGATCGTCCAACTGCATCCTAGATGTCCATTGTATCCCGTGTTTCCCTTCAGATGTTGACGTGTTCATGATCCAGTCGATCACCAGGAGAAAGAGAAATGGTGAGAGTAAGCAACCTTGCCTAACACCGGTCTTCACTTCGAACGACTTTGTCAACTGTCCTCCATGCACGATTTTGCAGTGTAATCCATCATATGAATTCTGTATGATATTGCAATGATTAGTTTGCTATCATGCTTAAATTACGTAAATACATAATTGTTCCAGTTAAAATGATTGTTACATTGAAAAGACAGAAACAATAATTTTATTGATTCTTGGTATTTATCATGAATTAACATGGATTTGGGGGATATTATTAAAACATAGGGTTGATTCTTCAGATGCTTCATGCTAGTATGAGACTCCTCAGCAGTGCGTACTAACAATCTCAGCGAGGATCGAACCTAAGTACCTTCAGGTTAAAAGCGGTCAAGTTCGAGAGGAATTTGTGAAAGTTGTAGTGAAAATTCGAGACGAGTGCAGTTAAACCGTGTTGGGTGTGAGATAGTTATGTTGCTAAGGTATTCCAAATAGTTTAGAAATAACGAGATCTTTTGTTCTAATTCTTTTATCCAGAAGCAATTAATATTAAGCATTTTTAACTTGACCTATAAATACAGAGGGAAAAGCATGAAAAACCTAACTTTTTTATTATAAATTCTAACTGTAATTCAACTGAATAAGTTTTAGAAAGATAGGTTTTTTGTAGGTTAAATTGGTCTCATATTCATATTAGTTTGGGGAAGCATGAGTTTTTGTCAGACGAAGGTTTGAACAGACAATCTCGCATTTATTGATAACTGTTTGAATAGAAAATTCGTCAGTTCAATGTTTATTTTAAATTATCAAAGGATGCCGGCTCAGTGATTTAGAGGTTAGGCGTTTGCGTGCGAGACCAATAGATCCTGAGTTTGAATCTCGTTAGGCGCAGTTTCCGATGCGCACCGCTAAGGAGTCCTATAATAGGACGAAACGGCTGTCCAGTGCTTCCAGGTTTTCCATGGTGGTCTAGCTTTAATTGTCTCATGATCTCAACTATTAAAAATATTAATTATTTGTTTAAAGAAAAAGAAACAATAACACTTATTCATTTTTATTTACTTTATAGCTGATGAACTTGCCACATTTGTTGCACAGATCACTAGAAATTTACAAGAAATTGAAAAAAACACGAAATTATCCTTGAATAGTAATCAATCGAATATGAACAACAGCAATGATATGATGTTGAAGACTTCGACATCTATCGACCAATCACAATTAAATACTACACATTCATCATTGTATTTGAAAGCCGCCAATAATAATGATCAAGTGACGCATCTTTCATCAGGTAATTAAAACAAGCCAGAAAAACATAGTTGTTTCATCCAATTTTCATTATGTATATAAAGTACTCATGCAGTATGGCCACTGAACTAATAACTCATTATTATTATTATTATTATTATTATTATACTGATCGCTCTATAAACTAAGTAAAGTATATTGTGATAATTATGTATAGAAAGGACTATTTTGACACCGACTAGTGTAACCATTTCATAATCATCTAGAAAAGTTGATAAAGTTTTGTCTACATGATGCATCTTTTTATCGTGTAATAAATGTGTGGTGAACGAGAACACCAGTGGAGATAACTAAAGCTATTTGGCTATAAAATTACAGAATCTCTCAGTAAAATCTGAAAATCATACAGTAAATCCTTCATTTGCAAAGTGTCAATTAATCGTTTCAGACTTGATTGTTCCTTCTTTTCTACACCAATCATTCTCTGTTTTCATTCTCTTCGATCTTCTTGACCTTCTACCATCAGGCATTTCACTTTCGATTGATGATACATACCACTTATATCAGTCAACATCCGAACGCACCACAAATATATTTAATATATAAGTCGTAAAATAATCGCCTCTTTTTGTTTTTTCTTCGTCAGAGAACAGACGAAGTATAAGAAAATATACGAACCATAATGTTAGTGATTTCTAAGTCTATCAATAATTAGATTGAATAAGTAAACATTAATAACAGATCTTAACACATACTTTGATAAGAAAAAGTAACTTGAAACTAATGATGATAGTTCTTTATCAAGTATGCAGTTTTTTATATAATTGTCTTTGAGTAACACTTTCATTGTATCAGAACTATCAATGATACTACTGATTTACTACTGAAATCAAAGTCAATCGTGAATAGAATACGAATACATGATTGATTGATGGATGGATGGATGGATGAACTGTGCAAGTATTAAAATAAACCCTTATATTTTAAATATGTTTTTGAATTGAATATAAATATAAATGCTATCTGTATGTACTAATGCAGTGTTGTGTGAATAGCTTACACAATTTATCACGTTACTTCAATACTGGAAATGTTGCATCAAGCTACTCCAGTTGTTCGTATAATGTTCTCTTTATTATTATTCTTTTGATAAGAAAAAAGGAACAAAGACAAGTATATTGGAATTCATGTACTGAAAATCTGATGAAAAAAAAGTGTGCACCATCCGAACTGAACCATTGGGCCATTGAGCCGGCATCCAACGGTGTTTATGTCTAACTTCAACCAATTCACGAAACTGCGCCACCGTCACCAATGCCTTCAGTGAGTTGATGCGCACTACTGAGTAGTCCTATAATAAGACGAAACGGCTGTCCAGTGCTTCTAGGTCTTCCATGATGGTCTAGCTTCAATCGACTCATGATTTCAATTATTGAAACTACTAAAATCTCCACAAAACCCCTTCTGAGAAAATATTTCTTTGACTCGTGTAGTAACCTATGTTAGATAACCATTGAAAACCTGGAATGTCTGGACAACTATTTCGTCCTAGTTTGTTACTTCTCAGCAGTGCGATTCCAAAACCTCATCGATGATAGGATCAAAGATTTTTAGGTCCCATTGATAACTTCGTAAAGCACTCTGGAATTTCTTGTGACAAGCTGAAGTAGGCGGATTTTAACGTTATGGGATGTGTGACAGCTATTGGCAATGGATGAAGGTATTTGTTATCGTTAACTTGTTGAAATTAGACATAAAAACCACTGGACATTGGCCTGTAGGTAAAGTTCTTGTCAAGAGACTTAAAAATCTTGAGTTCGGTCGTCTGTAACGCTTGATCATAAATGAATACCGCTATGTAGTCCCATATTAAGATAAAATAACCGTCCAGTGCTTCGATATTAATCTAACATAGGTCAGTTCGTCAAAACAATGATGTCCAACAGTCTTCACGAGCTCTATCATATTTGTGAATTTTCCAGATTGTGACAATATTATTTATTTAATTTAACTACTTTGTGTAAAAGTAGATATTACTTATAACTTACTTACTTACTTCTCACTTACGCCAGTTACTCCTCGTGGAGGAACATAAGCCTTTCGCCAGCATTTTCCATCCAACCTTGTCCTGGGCAATCATTTACAGCTTCTTCCAGTTGTTATTCATCCTCTCCATATCTGATTCTTTTTCCCGACGTAATGTGTTCTTTGGTCTTCCTCTTTTCCGCTTCCCTTCAGGATTCCAAAATAGGGATTGTCTCGTGATGCAGTTTGGTGATTTCCGTAATGTATCTCCCATTAATTTCCATCATCTTTTCCTAATTTCCTCTTCGGCTGAAGGCTGGTTTGTTCTCTCCAACAGTAGGCTCTTACTGATGGTATCCGGCCAATGGGTGTTGAGGATCTTGCGTAGACAACTATTTTTAAATACTTGTACCTTCTTGATGATGGTTGTAGTGATTCTCCAAGTTCCAGCTCCGTACAGTAGAACTATCTTGATGTTCAGGTTGAAGATTGTGACTTTTATATTGGTTGACAGTTGTTTTGAGTTCCATATGTTTTTCAATCGTAGGAATGCGGCCCTTGCTTTGCTAATCCTCGCTTTCACATCTGCATCCGACCCTCCTTGTTCATTGATGACGCTTCCTAGGTACGTGAAAGATTTCACATCTTCCAGAGTTTCGCCGTCAATTGTGATTGGGTGAGGTTTTTCCATCTTGTATTCGAGGGTATTGGTTTTTCCTTTGTGTATATTGAGGCCAACCGATGCAGAGGCTGCTGCTACACTATCTGTCTTCATCTGCACTTGTTCGTGTGTATGGGATAGGAGGGCTAGTTCATCTGCAAAGTCCAAATCGTTTAATTAGCTCTGAGCTGTTCACTGTGTTCCGTGTTTCCTCTCAGATGTCGAGATCTTCATAAACTACTCGACCAACATTAGAATAGGGAAGGGGGAGAGTAGACATCCTTGTCTGACTCCGGTTTTTACTTAGAATGCACTGCATTACTTATAAGAAATATATTCAAAAGCACTTCAATTATTTCTTTCCATGAAATTCATTATTATTCAAAACGTGTTTGAAAGTCATTTGGACGGGATTTCACAAGACCCAGTTCAATTAATCCTTTCGATTTCTTGTTAAATTCAAGATGTTTATTGGTGTATACGAAATACATTACATTTCCCCATATTTATTCAAATATTCATAGGTTATTATTACTGTTGTTACCTTAGAGTTTTGTGAAATTTGTTGAGTTTAAATTACTCACATCAAGAATTTATAGTAGTTCAACTATCATTGAAAACCGCGAAGCAACGGAGAGGTGTTTTGTACAAGGATGACAATCTTCGGCAGTGAGCACTCATACTAGTGGGATGTAGTCCGAGCGTTTCTCTCTATTTGTGTGTACCTGTATTTCAGTCTGTTATGTACATTAGACTCAAACCTAATATTTTCCTTATCAATAGTCAGTCCATTACCGATTAAGCTACTGACTTATTCAACAGAAATAAAGTTATCAGTAAGGGTTTGTGAACTCCTGTTGTTGATATCCAGTACTAGAACTGATCATTCTCTGTCACTATATGAACTAACTGTGGAGATTATCTTGTCAATATCGACTCGTTTATGTTTTTTTGTAGTTTGATTGGCTTAATTCACAGAGTGTTACTAAATTTGATAACAATACTAACTTTATCAGCAATTTTCGTCTCAGATTAATCATATTTGGACTAGCATTGAAAATCATGCAGTAAAGGACAACTGTTTTGTACTAGCATAAGATTTCTCAGGAGTGTATACTCACAACCCTAAACCCAGGTATGTAATCCAAGCCAAGCAGTTCTCATGACGACTGTACAACCGTTGGGATCATTGGGTTTGCTGTCTATTGATGCATGTATCAAACACCAATCAATTTACAATTTGACACTATTGTCATGCAACAGCATTAGTCACATCTTCTGACTAGGACTCATTAATAATTGAATCACTAATGAGCTTGTTGTTAGCAGTTTGAAACAAACCATAACAAATATTGATTACAAATGAAAGTGATTTCCACTAATTCATTTAGATTTTTATTGTTTTTGCAAATGTCTGTGTATTCATCTAAGTAGAATTCATTTCCTGGGCCGTGATTAACCTTTATGTAAAAAAACGCAAATGTTACGAATACTATTTGGGTTTTCTGGGGCTGAAATTTTCTCCATGGTGTTGTATTGACCGAATATAAGACTCGACTTGAAAATTGCTCGCTGCATATGTGTTTTGGTATTAATTCTTATTTGAGAAACATTTCATAAGTGTTAAATTAAGTTAGAAATATTAGTGTCTGACTTCTACTTAGATATTAATAATTAGATGGCTATGTAACACTGTAGTGAAACGGTGCTTTAATGTAGTTGAATCATTTGGCTTGCAGTTATAAGCTTACTTGCTTGAACAGCGTTCATGACCCTGTCAGTCAGCAATTTCACCCGACCTTTACACAAAATATTCTGACTTATTCCAAACCGACAGTGCTGGGTTCGAATCCCGCGTGTGGGGTCGTGGATGCTTACTGCTGAGAAGTCACACGCTAGGACGAAACAGCCGTTCAGTGTTTCCAGGTTCTCAGTGGCGGTTTGATATTGATCGATTCATGATCTCGATCGAAACATATGATTGTTCAAACATATCTTGTTTCTTCTGCTTACTTAAAGAAGTCAGATGGACTGTTAAAGATCTACCTTCATTAACGCATTAAATGAATAACGTGGTTCCGATGAAGTTATACGGCTGTGTATATCTATGTTTTAAAATGTGTAACAATGCTGATAGAGCCTATTGCTCATTTTTATCGTTATTTCAAGGTCACAATGTGTGTGAGCCTTAAACCATAATTTAGAGAGGACAAAAATTAGTTTAACAAGCACACGTAGACTGAGCTGTCTGTTGTATCATCTTTTATCTCTCAATACCTTATCTCCACTATCAATTAATTTCGTTCAAATGCACCGTTAATAATGAGTCATTAATGAGACATTTTCTGAAATAAAGAAAACATCT